ATAGGGGGTGAGCCTATTGCCATATACCGGGCACATTTCTAGAGTCCGTGCTACTACTGAGATTTTTTTTTAAGAACCGTAATACTTTGCCCGACCCGGGAATCGAACCCAAGACCCCTTGCCCGGCAGTCGAAATTGCTACTACTCGGCCAACGAGGCAAAAGTCGTAAGAAAAACTCTTGCTAAAACTCTCAGGTTAACAAGGCATAATCAATTTCAAGTCTAATTTGTTAAAAAAGAGGTCGTTATCATATTTCAATTTAATCTAGTCCTCCATAAAGGTCAAACAGCTGACACACAACACCCTACGCCTTAATCACGTAAAATTAAAAAAGCACCATATAATACTACCATTATGCACCCAATTACAAACTTCACGAACACATGTCATTCAGAAAAACAAACAACTAACGACAATATAACTATTTATTACCTAATCCACAACAAACGCCTGTTAGTTTTCTGAACAAACCCCTAATCATTTCATAATTAACGAAGTTTTTACGCCAAAATTTGGGCCAACCTTTTTTTTGGTCACGTCTTTAACGAGCTTGCTTGCACCCAATGTAATAGGAGCTCTATTATTGGGAGTATTAAGTAGATTATTCTTTGATGGTTGTTTGTATAACAAATATTTGTGTTGGATGAAGAGTGCGCGTCTATATAATTAGGCAGCAGACACCTTAGTGTGATGATCGTTGGCGCCTCCGGCCTGTAAGGTGACCATATTGAATTATTGCACCGGGACACCTTGATTTATTTGGTCCTTTGGTACGGAAACCTTTGTTTCGAGGATTTTATTGGTTTAATAAAGCATTTAGGACTTGAGAAGTAGTCGGCGAAATTCGTGTCTTGGAATATGTTTTTAAGTTGATGGGAGTTAAGATGTATAAAGATTTGTTCTATAAATATATGCAACATTTTGTTTGCTTCTAATTACTATCAAAGTATTAATAGTATAGAAGTATATAGAGAGACAATAGCACAATAATAGGGAAGATTACCCCCTTTAACAGAGTCATCATCGGGTCATTGAAAATAACGAAATGTCTTCATGCACTCTATATTATACAGAAGGGTCATGATATTGTACTTCTTTGTTTTGAATAGTATACTGACTCAACCAATGTCTGCTCGTTTTGCTTCACGCCAAAGCCTTGTAACAGCAAACTTCTAAGCAAATATAAATAAATCCAAACGAAGTCGCAGGCAAAAGCTATTCGGTAATAAAATTATATTACCTTTGTAAAGAATTTGCTTTATCTAATTACAAACTAAAATGGCATTGGTATTAGTATTAATTAAGACCATAAGAATGTGTGAACTGGCAAGTAATGGATATGCTACCTTATACGTTTAGGAATAAAAACTAATATTAATTAATGTGATAATGTTAGAATTATAAAAAGGAAGAAATAATATATTTGTAAGCGATATGTAACGTAATAAGTATGGTACTCGTAATTATTAAAAAAAAATATAGCAGAAGTGTAACCAGTTGTATTAAACTACAACACGACACCAACGCCATCTGTTTCTAATAAAAAGTCTAGTTCATTACATAATTATCATTAATTGAGATTGGATATTAACGTGGGAGAGCCGTGCTTCGGTACAAATGGCTCGGTACAAGTGATACCACAGCCTCACAGAACACCAGCAAGCAACAACACTAGCGTTGTATTTCTTCGTATGAGTGAGGTTACCAGCCAATACTTTTATCATCTCCAATTCCCAAAAAGATCGGCAACACATTTGTAACGCCTCTGGTGTAGCAAGTGTTACAGGAGGCACCGACCGCGTACCATCAGGTGACCGGCTTGTTTGCCGTCCTATTCTTTGAAAAATTATTTAGACTTTGCCTGACGAGTTTGACCACCAATAAGTATTTTAAACGGTTCATAATTTCGCAGAACTACCTATCTATCTAGTATAACGCCTATAATACCCACTGCTAAACAAAACCTCTTCTCACACAGATTAGGTCTGAGCATTAATCACCACGCTTGCTCAATACGGGTTGGCGATTACAAACTTATAATTAGAAATTATAAGCCTAGGTTTACTCACGATGTTTTCCTTCACCGTTAGTCAGTGGTGTCTGAATAATCTTAGAAAGTTTAAATAACTCGGTAAAAGTCATATTGGTACTTGCCGTTGACGATACCATACATAAGGACCTCACATGCCTTGAGTATAAAAAATCCAGTTATGATGTCACGCATGGATCCCCTACTAACACGCCTAAAGTATCCGATCACTAACATTAATAGCAATTTCTTGGCGAAAATTACCCCTTAAATGTTACCCGTAGGTGTAGACATGTTTACATGACTCATGTAATTGTTATAGCAGATCTATAATTATTTGTGATTGGTACAGGGCAATGGTTCGGATTCGGATTGAAATTTTTGTTATTACATGTTAATCTGTAGGTAAATACAATCTGAATGTTTGGTTAAAATTACGAAATTATTATGAAAGATTGTCATTTGTCAAGAGTTTTTTGAACTAACCGAAAAATATTCTAAGTGTAGTATGTAGAAACAAATATGTAAATATTATTATTATTATAAATAGGTATAGTTATTTCTTGATTTTTCTAAGGACTTCTGAGAAGGCTTCAAAATTGACTACCAATAAAGTGCTATTTATTATTTCTAACTGAAAGTTTCCATTTATATTTCAATTACGAGAACACCTACTAGCAACACGAGCATAGACAAAACAAAACTAAACATGCCTTAAAACAAAAACCTCCTCGATCACCGTTCGAAAATTAAAAAAGTAACCGTCAAAATATATTGTCTAGGAACGCCCAAAGCTATTTGGGTAACGGACATCTATTTTTGGATGAAAAAATGGATGATGAACACCATAACAGATGTTAATGATTCTATTATTTATGGCCGGGCATTTTAGACCCTTTACGGTGTTTAACACGGTTTCCTAAAAACGGGAAAGTAGAGGAATGATGCAGTTATTGACAGAAGGGGTTAAAACGTTTAGATATTCAAACAAGGGGTTTAAACGATGCCGTTAAAGAAAATTATTAAGGATTGTTAAAATGTCGTTTGTGTGAGGATTTTGTGAGTCTTCCAATCTTCCAAAACCGCTGCAACTCCTGTAAACCAGGATCTACAGTAGATACAACCATGAAAACACCGGAACACTGAAGTCCGGCGCGTCCCAGGGACATGAATAACTGTCTTGGTTCCCGCAACGAGGTGAATCAGAACATATTATAAGAGGAGAAGAAAAATAAGATAGTTTCCACTACCCTCGGTGAATTACTGCAGGAGATAGAGTGAATTAAGCCTAAAGGCACAAAGAAAAGAGACTACAACTGGGTAAAGCCCAGTCGCCAAGCACCACGGAAATTTGACTATAATCTAAGTGGGTCCTATATGTGAGCTGTTATACTTGCTTCCAGTAATAGGTATGGTAAAAACGCCTAAACGCACGGAAATTTGTTCTAGCTTCCACAAGGTCTGTATAATAAGTGCACCTGACGAAACAATTAAATTATTTAACGTAATGTTACGTTCATACTGCTAGAGATCACACTCCCAGAGTATGTGATGGGCGGACTGTTCGTATTGCAGCTCCGCTGTCGAACATTGGCACCATGGTGAATCAACAAGTTTAAATGAGAACAATTTGCTTTTAAAGTTGTCTTATTAGTAGTAAAAAGTGGGTGTTACACTATATTTTGTGTACCTTTGCGCCCCCGAGGACTAAATGAATGGCGTAATACTACATAGTCAGAGACCGGTGTATAGCAAAAGGCTCTAACATATCTTTATATGAAGATACTATATTCCGACATATATCCCGGAGGGTCAATATTAAACTGTAATAAAGAAATTGTTTTAAGTACTCCAAGACAGGTGGTTTGTAATTATATGGTTAAACTGTAATTTTTATAATCTATTTTTATGCATCTTTACATACCTACTTAAATAGCTGGTTTTAAAATATATTTTGTGTTTATAGCCCACCCATGTTATTCAGTTTTTAAATAATTTAATGATTGTATGCAACATCAGTAGCGCTCTTTAGTCAACCTGAACCTTTTAATTATGATTTCCAAATCGCCAACGGTGGTGATTTGGCAAACGTTTTTATTTTGAGGAGACCTTTAATTTGGATTAAACATAGACTGTCATGAGATGGCAAAATTTCGAAGGACAATTATTATGTGTTACTGGAGAGACCTCCATACTCCGTGATACATCCAATTTTGGATAGAAACTGGCAAAATATTATTATATGTGTAACATTTCACATAAATTCAGTTATATATTTTTTAACTCGTCGAGTACCGTATTTATAGACACAATTAAAGAACAATAGGTTGCGGTCACCGGTGACCGCTTGGTGTTTGACAGTTTAAAGAACATTCCATGTTTGAAATTGAACGAAACATATTTTTTGTACATTCCATTTTCGATTTTTTATTTCTTGCCAGTAATAAGTAAGACACATGGTTGCGTGTTAGAAATTGACCATTTATCGCAAATTTGATTGGACAATGACTTCATAGCTACGTCATGGCACGGCAGTCATTTAAAAATATTATTTTTACTTCGAAAGTGAATAGTAGAATGGTAAATTACTTTTAATTGTTTGAGTGCTTATTTGTTTATTAGAATCAGATAACAATGTTTTTTTAATAATATGATAGGCATGGCACGTAAAAAAAATGGTGAAAAATTGTTTGGAAGAAAATTTGATGAAATTAGGATTTATCTACACTGACCACAACAACGAACTGAGATATGTCGATTTATTCACAGCCATTGTTAAATTGCGCGGGAAATTGTCACAGATAAAATTATCGAAATGTCAACGATCATAGATTGTCAACCTTTTTCCTAACCAGATATTTAAAGGCAGTTGCAAACTTTTTGGCACTTTTTTGGCAAATATTTTTAATACAGTATAACAATTTTCGTTCTCTTTTTAAATTTTCTTAATAAAACAAAATGATTACTAACCAAATGATCTGAGTGGGGTTCTCTGGGCGCACTAGGACCTGCGTTGGGCCACAGCAACTTTGACAACATCCGTTGACTTTGGCAATAGATGAGCTCCTACGAAGGAGAAAAAATGAACTTTAGTTTGTTTTGAATAAAGGCTCTTATTGCCTGACAGGAGTTCCTTTTCTAATGGGGTGATCACAGGTTGGGTTATTTTATCGCCCATCGTAATAAACCTCTAACACAAAATAAGAAGGAAATCATAGACATAGGTAAGCGTGTTGGCTTGGGATTAGGTGATATTCAGCATTATTTTTATAAAAAATAATATTACTAATTATAGATAGATCACATTCACCTATCAAGAAAAAAACAATTCATTTAGGAAAAAAAAATATCAAGTTATACACTTGTTTCGCCCACATCTCGTCTATATATCTATATATAGCTGCAAATGTGCTAGATGTACTAGTCTAAATGTTTCTTTTACATTATATCCACCCAAAGGTTGTCTGTTAGAAATCACTATAAGAGATAAGATGGCCTTTATGTCCATTATTATTTTTCATTATTATCGCTTGTTTAAGATTCAAATTAATGATTATTTAATAGCAATCTTTACACATATACATCATCATCATCATCAACAGCCTATAAATGCCTACTGCTGAGCAAAGCATCTTCTCACACGGAGAAGGTTTGAGCATTAATCACCACGCTTGCTCAATGCGGGTTGGCGATTACAAACTTATAATTAGAAATTATAAGCCCAGGTTTCCTCACGATGGTTTCCCTCACCGTTTGTCAGTGGCGTCTAAATAATCTTAGCTCTACTAGTTTGAGTGAGGAAGAGCCCCTCTGTGGTTCGAAACTAGTAGAACTTTTCTCAGTACATTCACGTGAGTAACCCGCGTTGTTACTTAATTTAGTATGTCTCACGATAGTTATTATAAAAACTAAAATATTGTTAAATAGTTGGCACTTAACAACATTATTTAACATGGAAGTCAATAGACCGGAAGGTAGTGGAAAAAACTCAGTCAAAAGGACTCGTATCGACTAATTAGACATACGGAAGTAGGATGGACTCAGTCAAACCGTCAAACGCTAGACCGAATACCAAAAAATCTTATCAACTCCGCCTACACGACATCGTGGAGGGTCTTGAAACTACATTTCGTAGAAGAGGTCCATGCCATAGTTTAACAAGTTCCACCGTACTCAATGAACGAGATTATTAATAATAACAACACGTTTTTACTTGATGCGCATGCGCCGCTGGCGATCGGACTTAATGTCCGTGGCTGGGGTTACAAACTTGAGGTCGTTTTGCAAAGGAGTTTAATTAATTGTGATCTTATGACTGCGTTTTGTTTTGTTTTTGGATTTTGTGATTGCATTAATAATTAAAATATCAGGTAAATGCTTAATTACTTTCATTGACAGATTGCGCTATTGTGCACGTATCTCGCTTATTATAAGTAAGTCCTTCTTCGTGTTAGTTGCTTCTAAGATCCTAAACAGGGCAGCACTAGTTCTAGTAACTATTACACTAACAGCTTGCAGCTAACAACAAATACACAAATACATAGTTAAAATAGCTCCGCAGTAAAATTTCCTTCAGATTACAATCTTAACACTAAAACATTACGTGCACAAAATTGCATTCGTCAAAACTTCGAAATGTTAAACCAATAAAATTTTCCTTTAACCAAAATGTTGTCCACTTCTGGACGTTAAAAAGTATAACGAGATGGTAATAATAGGTTGCGTTCCGTTCTCGCCTGCAAAACAAACATTGGACAAGCGAGCTCCGAGACAGAGAGTGCTAAATTACTTTAATTATGGTGGAAAGGAACGGTGCCGTCATTTTCTGATTTACGTTTACAATTTTAGTCAACGTTTTTTTGAATTTCGATCGATTTCGCCGGATATGGATGTGATTTTTTTTCTTTATGTTTTTTTTAAACGGCTGATGATTATGTCATTTGGTTTTTTGTTATTAGTACTTCTTTAGATTTATTTAAAAAATTGGTATGTATGTTTTTATGGCAGGCGTAATTGGGCACATTGTTGTTAACGTTTGAATTTTAAATGAGTGATTACGTTTGTGGATTTATAGACATTAATCATAGATCATAAAAATTGGGTGAAAAGAAAACTGTATTTAAAATCAATAGCACTTCAGAGTAACAACTTTTTTATAGCAACAAAAATTTAAATTCCAATTTTTTGTTATGTCTACTAAAATATTTATCACTAAATATACTGCAATCCTAACAAAAAAAATATCATAGCTAAGACCAATAATAATTTGAAATACCTACTTATATCAAAATTGCAAATACAGATTAACCAAGAAATTACAAAGCAAAAAAGGCAAGGTGTTGTCTCTGAATTTTTATAGCACTCTGTGCAGTGGGCGGCCATTACAAGAAGTAACTTATAACGTATTTATAGATATTATCTGTGGTTGATACAGCTGTCATTATTGTTGATTTTTTCTTTTTATTTATTTGTTTAAATTGTAATCGGATGTTTCATTTTGTTAGTATTAAAGGGTTTTATTTGTAGGACGGCTGACTGACGGATGACTAAGTAGGTAGGAGTGAGTGAGAGGTAGTGATACTGGGGCATTTTCGGTTTTTCGAAAGGAAATCTGTAATAGCTTGGAGTCTGGATTTGCTCACGATATATGAAAAGTCACCCACTTTTCACTTTCCTATTGTAAACAATCACATGTTTCTTCGGGTTTTAAAAGGTGCGATTTTACGTTGCTACAGTATGTTATCTACCCGATAACTATCCTTAAAATTACAGCATTATACTGAAAAATAAAACGCCCCTTTATTATAATGTCCGTCGATTAGATTGCAACCAATATTATATTCAACACGTTACCCCATGCCCCCGGGATGAAGGCCCGATGGGATCTTCCACAGCTGATGTACAAAAACTGAGATTACCATACACAAAATTTACATAACATCGCGCCTGAATTCCCTGAACAGATAGATAGATGTGTAAAACAGTAGGCTGTGTTTAGTCATGTTTTGATTGCAAAAAATGGGTTTCTCCTAATTCCAAACTTGATACAGAAATACTGTTATTTTGTATATTTCTGCTGCCTCGTTGGCCGAGTGGTCGCAAGTGCGACTGCCGGGCGAGGGGTCTCAGGTTCCATTCCCGGGTCGGGCAAAGTATTACTGGGTTTTTAAAAAAAATCTCAGTAGTAGCACGGAGTCTGGAAATGTGCCCAGTATATGGCAATAGGCTCACCCCCTATTACATGGGACTCATATGATAAATAGTGAAAAGTGGGTGTTACCTCTGTGTGCACCTCTGCCTACCTCCGATAAAAGGCATGATGTTAGGTTATGTTATTTTGTATATTTGTGTTGATGTATGGCAATACACATAGACATTAAACTCATCTCGTTATGACAGAAAACTTTAATCAAGGCAATGATGAGATGAATATTCGTTTATAAAGTAATTGAATATACCTAATAATAGTGTATAAACCTTTAGTTTTCTCCAGTTAATCCTGTCACCAAGTCATTATCGCTCCGCAAACGTCTTTAACACAAGATATTAATACTCTTTGCATACTAACTTCTAAGATTAGCGCAGTTCTAACCAATTATTTATTAGAAATCAAGTAAAAGCCATCAAAGAGCGTTTCATAAACATTAATTGCATCTAACTATACGTCCGTCTGTCAGTAAATTATCAAAAACCACAGAACCAGTGTGGAGATCACGTAATTGTGTGTAAACACTGTTTACAACTTAATACTACGACATCAGAATTTAATTTACTGTTAGCTGAGCTGTGTTTATAGGAAATTGTAGGTCTAAGATGATACGGGAGGCCTAGCTCGCAAGCTGAGGCGTACGATGTTAAATTTTTTTTCTCGCTTTTCATAACGTACTAGATATTTAGCATCCAAACAGATTTGACCTCTGTGCCAAACCTTAAAAAGCATCCATATGAAAACGTCAAGAGACGGCGACAGAAAAAAATATTATGTCAAGAACTTAATCAGGCAACGATCGCTTGAGCCCCGTGAGCTGTAATTAGTGGGCAGTTGTACGAAATATGAATGGAGGCTGCGCGGACGCACAGCGCCGCGGGCGCGACCGCAACACCCATAACATTGAACATCAGGTCACTACAAAGTCAACTAAAGGACTCACATTATTCGCAAGTAATGATAGACCTTTTTTAAACAGCTCACGAACCCAGCATGACATCTAGTTGAAGTATCTACGATCCCGTCCGAAGATATTGGCCAATAAAGGCGAACCGTAGACTTATAAGGCAGCCCTCCGCCGCGACGAGACGCCGACAGAGCGAAAGATCAACGCTAATTAAGCGCCATAAAACCGAATATCGTTCTCATACCGTCGTTACCTTTCACCGCGGCCGACAACGAATTCTATTGAAAAAAAAACAACTCTTTTTGGACTTCACATACACGAGCGCACGATATGAGGATGGTAATAGATTAATGATATAGGTTGCGAGGTCTGTATTTAAAGGTGGGTTAGCGGGGAGGGCGCGCGCGCCGCCACCCGCGCGGTGCCAGGCGGGCGCAGGGGCGCGGGGACGCGGGGGCGCGCGCGGGACGGCCGCGCAGGCGCCGGTGGCGCGCCGCGGGGCGTGCTCGGCCCCACGCGTACACCTCTTATTGAGAAATTCCCGAGATGATGCATAATTCTCGTTTTGGGTTCCTCTCTGTAGTTATTTTACTCCTTGTTAACAATATTACCGATTCGGTGACCGACGCAGACGCATATTTTATCTGTTGGTTTTAAACTTTAACTGGACGCTTGATTTATGGCTTGCGTTGAGTTTGGTGAATGGCAATGTCCAAATTGGTGCTTTTAGACAAGTTATTATCTTTATGCAGGAAACAGTAAACGAGATTCACAACACAAAAGATGTAAGCACAAACGTATACCTACGTAGTCATTTTGTGGACCTACACTTCCCGTGTTCAAACCCCAGTCAGTCCCATCTCACAATCATATAAGAAACGAAACCGAAAGTCCACCAGCTCCCGTTCACTCCCAAGCTGTTAAAACACCAATCTCTTATCAGACAGTTAT